GATGGCAGCATCTGAGATGAAAGCAGCCTGCTCTTCTATCTCACCCCTCAGAGCATAATTAGCACTTCTCATTTTCCCCTGCCCCATCTTCACTGGAGTTAGCTGCCAAAATAGGCGCAGTGATTTGCTCAGGTTACCAGGGGTTTTCCATGACTCCGACCTCACTCCCCTGCCCTGGATGCATGGTCAAAAAAAAAAAAAGAAGTTGCCATCAAGTTGACTTTGACTCATGATGTCTCTGTACGTGTCAGAGTACAGCTGCACTCCACAGGGCTTGCAATGGCTATAACCTTCCAGAAGCAGATCACCAGGCCTTTCTTCTGAGGTGCCTCTGAGTGGATTCAAACTGCCAACCTTTCAGTTAGCAGCCTAGCGCATAAGTGTTTGCGTCACCCAAAACCCAAAAACCTGTTGCCGTCGAGTTGATTCTGATTCATAGCAACCCTATAGGACCGAGTAGAACTGTCCCATAGGGTTTCCAAGGCTGTAATCTTTATAGAAGCAGACTGCCACATCTTTCTCCCACGGAGCGGCTGGTGACTTCGAACCTCGGACCTTTCAGTTAACAGCCAAGCCCAGGGACTCCCGAAGGTCATTTAGTGGTCGGGAAACACAGTCCCAGAAAACTTACTAACAGTAATTCCGTCTCTAGCGAGCCTAGATTTTTCTCTTCCTTCTTTTATCCTTCTGTGTTCTGGCACAGCATTGCCTTGTGTATCTCCCCTTATATTTGTGTTTACTGTGTCATTACATCCGATATGGTTTTTCGATTGAAGACCTCAGAGCTCACCCAGGATTTGTGAGGCATTTCACCTGGAGAGCTGGGCCACAGGTAGTTGAAATGTTACTGATTTTATTTTCATATTTTAAAATTGAATGGGTTCACGATGTCTGAAACTGCTTTCTTTCTATTCATTTATCTCTGGAGGACAAAAATAACAGCTAAACTTTTTGAGTGCCTACTGTGTGCCAGTCATTTTGCTCATTGCTTTCCGTTTATTCACTCATTGATCCTCACCACCATCTTATGAGGTCGGTACAGTGTTCCAGATGAGGAAACGGAGGCACAGAGCGATGAAGTCATTTGTGCGGGTTACACCGCTGGAATGGTAGGGCCAAAGTTCGAATCCAGACAGTCTGGCTCCAAAGTCTCACTCCAGGCTAGGTCGTCAGTTCTCATGTTCACCCTTACACCAGGGGCGCTTATTTGTCCCTTATGCAAACCAGAAAGTGTTACCTCCTCGAAGAGAAAGTGGCTCCTGCAATTTGGAAATATCAGGCCACAGGACTTGCATTAGGCAACATACTGATGGTGTCATCATCACTGGGGACATGTGGTCTGTGCAGGAAGGTCTCAGAGCAGGATTCCCACCCCTGCTCTGTCAAAAAAAGAAAACAAAACCAAACCCGTTGCCGTCAAGTCGCCTCCGACTCATAGCGACCCTATAGGACAGAGTAGAAGTGCCCCATAGAGTTTCCAAGGAGCGCCTGGTGGATTCGAACTGCTGGCCTTTCGGTTAGCCATAGCACTTAACCAACTATGCCACCAGGGTTTCCTGCTCTGTCAGAGTGGCCTCCAAATAATATTAAAAACTCAACAATTTATGGCCACCTCCACCACTGTCACCCTGGTCCAAGCCACCATGGTCTTTTGTCAGGCTTGGTGTCATAACTCCTGAATGGATCTCCCTGCTTCCACCCAGGTCCCTCCAGTCTGTTCTCAGGACAGCAGCTAGGTCACATCACTTCTCCACTCAAAACCTTCCCCTGGTTCCCTGTTTTACTCAGAACAAAAGTCAAAGTCCTTCCAGGGCCTGCGTGCTCTGCTGCCCCTACCCTGTTGACTACTCTCCTCACTGCCTGCACACCCTGCCCCCACCCCTGGCCTCTGTGTTCCTCCTCGGGGGAGCTCTCCCAGGCACATCATGCCTCAGGGCCTTTGCACTTGCCTGAATGCTCCTCCCTCAGACGTCTCCCCAGTCCGTGAGAGGGCAGTGCAACACTCCTCATCCAGTAGCTCCCCATCCTGTATTTTTCTCCCTGCTGTATTTTTCTCCTTACTGCTGATAATGACCTGATATACCGTGAGTTTTACTAATTTATTCGTTTATTCTCTGGCTCCCAACACTAGAATGAACCTTTAATTTTTTGTCTGCTTTCTTCACTACCATATGCCCAGAACTGAGAACCCGGTGGGCGTTCAATAATCATTTGTTGAATAAATGAATGCATGATAAATTTGTTTTGGAGAATTAAATGCACTAACCTGTGGAAAGCATTTAGAATGATACTTAGCACAGAATTAGTGTTTAATAAATGTCAGGTAGTGATAATAATAATGTAGTTATTGAACGAATGGGTGGATTAAAAAATTAGATACTGCTATTAGATACTGCTGTTTCATTATGTGGAACCCCTGGTGGCATAGTGGTTAAGTGCTACAGCTGCTAACCAAAAGGTTGGCAGTTCAAATCCACCAGGCACTCCTTGGAAACTCTATGGGGCGGTTCTACTGTGTTCTGTAGGGTCGCTATGAGTACTTGACAGCAACGGGTTTTGTTTTGTTTTGTTTTTTTTTATTTTTTTCATTATGTAGTGCAAAGAGGATAATTAAGCTATACCCCAACCCCAACCCAACCCACTGCCATCCAGTCAATTCCGACTCATAGTGACCCCATAGGGTTTCCAAGGCTGTAAATCTCTACAGAAACAGACTGCCACATCTTTCCCTGAGGAGCCGCTGGTGGTTTCCAACCGCCGACCTCTCAGTTAGCATCGATAGCTTTAACCACTGTGCCACCAGGGCACCTTAATGGAGCTATAAATGTTTTAACTTACATTTGTAATGGATGCTAACAGTTACCTGTTGAGTCGACTCTGACTCATGGCGACCCCATCTCTTGGCGACTCCATATGTGGCAGCTGCCCAGGACCCCGTGCCCAGAAGGGCCCTGCGCTGGGTTGAATGCTCTATGGTCGCCATCTTGAAATTCGTAATCATGTCTGAACAAACAGCCCGCATTTTCGTTTTGCACTTGGCTCTGCAAATTGCATAGCGGGTCCTGCGCACTACACTTCGAATCAGAAGACCAGGTGTGAAGGGTGTGACCTTGGTCCCATTCTTTTTCCTCTCGTGGCATTTGTAAAAAGGGGGCAGGTAGGGTAAAACTCCCTCTCTCGTAGGGGAGTTTTGAGGATGAAATAATCTAACAGATGAAAGGATTAGCCCATGGCTCCCTACACATTAGGCCTCTCCAGAAAGACCTTTTTCCTCGTGTACCGGAGCACAAGGAGCTAAATCGAGAAGCCATTTCCTTTCTGCTTAAAAGGGATTTTAAACTTTGATTTCCCTAGTCAGGAATCTCAGCCTAAAGAACACATCCTGGAGGGTCGTCATTGATTTTCCTTAACTCGTATTAATTACACAGAAGGACAACAGGACGACTCCTTCCTCGCCTTTCTTTATTACATTTGAACAGTATGTTGTCCAGATGGCAGACAGAGTAGCAGCTTCCAAGTTATTTTAAAATGAGCTTCTTTTACTTATTGAAGAAGATTAGGGAGAGAAAAAAAATGAAATTAAGCCCATGTCATTGAAATAATCTTGGCTTACATGACTTTAAGGAGATTTCTAGTGTTCAGACTAAGAACTCTTCTGCAAAAGAAGGCTGCCGTGGGTAATGTGCCTGGGGAAGACTTCATTAGAGTCCTGGGGGCTGGCACACCCGTCACAGGCCCTGAAAGATGATGCTAAGTCTATTTTGCACTCAGTTTCCCTATTGCAAAAGTGTAGATAAAGATACCTGCTCTGCTCTCTGACTCTCGAAGTTGATTTATGGATCAAAAGAGGTATTTGTAGAAGCGTTTTGAACATTTTTGAATGCTGTGTAAATTACAAGTTTGGATTATTGATAAGACTTTTGCAGTTTAGGTGTGAATGAAAAAATTCACCGAAAGCATTTGAAAATTTTTCCAGAAAATAAATAATCCCCAAAAAACCATTTGCCGTGGAGTTGATTCCAACTCATGGTGACCCCATGTGTGGTAGAGTATAATTGTGCTCCATAGGGTTTTCAATGCCTCATTTTTTGGAAGTAGATCACCACGCCTTTCTTCCAAGGCACCTCTGGATGGACTCGAACCATCAAGCTTTTGGTTAGCAGCCGAGTACATTAACCGTTTGAACCACCCAGGGACTCCCAAGAAAATAAATGCCAAGAGCTAAATTCTCAACTTCTTTGGAAAGGGGGATGTATTAGACACCAGGATAACCTGTCACCACCAAAATGATCTGCATCACTTAAATTTCACGAGAACCTGAAGCCAAAGCTGTTACCTCCTAAACTTCCATAACCCTCAGAGGGTCTTTCTCAGCAGATCAGTTATAATTTCCCCCAGAGAAATATCTTTCCCTCTACTTATTAACTTAGTTATTTATTGAGGATCTACTATGTGCCAGATGCTGTTCTAGACACCTGGGATAAATCAGTGAATAATACAAAATTCCTTGGCTTCATGGAGCTTACATTCTAGTGTGGAGAAAGAAACAGTAAGAATAAGCATAAAAGTAAGTCTATTCTACAGCATGCTAGCAGGTGATTAATGCTATGGGAAAAAAAGTAGAAGAGGGTAAAGGAAATTAGGGATGTGCGGGAGCAGGTTGCCATTTTAAAATGTGTGGTTATGGCTGTCCTCTTCAAGAAGGTTGTATTCAAGCAAAGACTTAAGAGAGATGAGGGTGGTCCATACAGATAGCTGCCAGACCAGCATTCCAGGGGTCAGGAACAGCCAGTGCAGAAGTGTAATGAAGAAGTGGGTCTCGAGTTTTCAAGGCACAACAAGGAGGCCACAAACGTAGCATGATTGTGGGCTTCTCCATAGCTTTCCCTTTCTAACAGACAGAGAACAGAAGGTTCAGAAACTAGAGAGAATGAGCTCGCCAGACGAATGCCCAATACATACATTTATGCCTCGTTCCTCTGTGTGTGTTTTTCCCACAGCCACATGACACAGGCAATCCCATTTGACGACCCTCGCTTAGAGAGCTGCCAAATCATCCCTCCGGCTCCCCGGAAGGTGGAGATGAGGAGGGACCCTGTGCTGGGATTTGGTTTCGTGGCAGGGAGTGAAAAGCCAGTGGTCGTTCGCTCAGTAACTCCAGGTAAGCTCCCACCCCACTTCTGGGCCTCCCACGACCACCCACCACCCCCTGCCAGAATGATTCCTGTTTGGTTCCTTGAGTGTCTGGGTTGTGAAGGCTGGGCGTGTTGTTCCAACACCTGGATAGAGTCAGACCTCCAGAGGGACAGAAATGGCTCCTCGAAACTAAGTTTTAAATGGCCAAGTCTTTTCACTTGACTAAGGAAAACACTGACCCATCATTTGTAACCATGGAAATGACCTGGTTCTTAATGCATGAATGTAAACAGTAAGAGGCAGGCACCTTACTGTGATTCAGTAAGCTCATGAAGAGCTCCTTAGAAGAAACAACAGGAAGTGATGCTTAAGTTACAGTAGGATTTAGTCATTGGAGTGGTTGGATTATTTACAAATATGCACTCCCCTCCCTTTCCACTAGAGGCAGACTAGATTTCCCGGCTACATTGTGTTGGGCTGGGCCATGTGACTGACCGTAGCCAATGGCATGTCAGCAAAGATGACATAGGCAAAGGCTTGAAATGTGCTTGTGTAGGTCAGTCTGTTTCTTGGATTCCACCATGATCATGGGAACAGTTTCCCTTGGGTAGCTGCTATCCCTTCAGCCTGAGCCCCATAGTAACCACATGGAGCGGCAGAACACATGTGGTGGCACCAGCTAAGTGCAGCCTGACCTGCGGTTTGAAGCAGAGCTGCCCAGCCGAGCTTGGCCTAGATCAGCCAATCTGCAGTTATATTAAAGACCATGAGCATGAGAAGAAATGACCGTTGGACCCCCACTGAGTTTTGGGAGGTTTGTTATGCAGCAGATGCTTACAGATAGACTCAATGCCAAATGTCTTAAATCCCACAGCATGAACAGATAACTAACGTACTTTGCCTCGGTCATCATTATCAGGATGTAGAAAGTTCCACTATCCACATATTCGAACACAGCAGAGTATAATGTCACTGCCTGGAGTGGGCTGCCTTTGCCTTTCCCCCGAAACAATGCTTTTTGTATTATTTATTGTATGTACTTATGTACTTCCTTTGATGAGCTTATATTGGATTTATTTTCAGACAAAAGGAAATTCTCTTCTATGCTGATTATCTCCAGGACGAGTTCCGTAGCCAAGTACTGTAGTTAAGAGCACAGACACTGAGCACAGATTCCCTAGGTTCAAATCTTGCCTCTTTGCCTTGTGAGAGTTTTTTTAGCTTCCATGTTATGTAACTTCCCTGCATTTCAGTTTGATGTGATTTCTCTGCTTTATGTGTGTAATGGGGACCCTAATAGTATTGACCTTACAGGGCTATGGCAAGTATGGGATAACTTAGAAGAGTGCCTGGTACATAGTTATTATTCCATAAATGTTAACTAGCAGTAGTAGTAGTAAGCGCTAAAATATTTGGCCAGTTGAGTTTGTCAATTGAGGGAAATGAAAGTCAACTAGTGAACTAGTATAGATATTTAAAGTTGATTTAATTTATCTAAATTGTTTTGAGTAATACCCCCCCAAGGCAAGCCCACAAATGCAATCAACTATTCTACACTTTTGCTTAGAGGACTGTTTCTTGTTCACATCTACCGTTATCTCACCACACAACTTCTTACTCCATGGGCCAGAGCTCTTTATTTCATTAGATGGAGATAATATTTTAACTCTTTGTGTAGGATTGCCCAGCTTGATGCAACTGAGAGTTTTATTCTCAAAATAAAATAGATTTGTTGCTTTTTATGATAAGAAAATAATATGTGTGCTTTGTAAAAAACAAACAAACAATGTAGAGGGTATAGAGCTCAAAGTAAAAAAAAAATGAAAAAAAAAATATATATATAACCTGAACTCCTACTACTAAGAAACAACCATTATTAATGTATGCATGGAGACCAGATGTGTATTAGACACAATTCTGTATATACACACATATGCATATACATTACACACGTATGTTATATTGTTATGTATCATATATATTAATGTATTATATATATATGTATGCACACGCACCCACACATAGATACTTTTTCTTAAATAGAATCATATTTGGCATTCTGTTTTATAATATTGGGATATTTTTAAATCCCTGGTTATGAGGTTCTCCAAAGTGTTTGACCTCCTCGGAGCTTACTGGAAATTCAAGTCTTGTTTTTCATTTTATTGTATTGCTTTGCTGTTCCTTCAACCTCTTTTCTTCCTTTTGCTTGACTCTCTTAGGTTCAGAGACCTACTGTTAGACAATATTGAGAAAAGTAGAAAAAAGTGAAAAGAGAGGTCAAAGAGTACTGTTTCCTGTCATTTCTATGAGTGAAAATGTTGGTCAATCATAAAAATGATTCTACTGAAATCCCAAGTGATTTCGGTGGCATGACCCAATTTACTAGACAACCCAGTTGTCAGAGTCAAGGGCATGAGACCATTCTCCAAAGTGTGCCACTGTTTCATATTCTGGAAGGAACTGTGTGTTGCTTCCTCTAGAATTCTTGATTCAAGTTGCTTGATTAAATGAAAATAATTCCATTTGATTGAAAAGTATAGGTCACATGTATGACTATGTCCTGTTAATTTTCGAGTGTTTTCTTAACAGACCAGTTAACATCCATCAACCAGTTACTTTGAAAATTATTTTGTATTTGATCAGCATTTGATTACTAACCATGTGTTTGACGGAATTTGAGTGACTGCTTGCACATATATCGGTAGCTATTATAAGAGTCCCCAGTGATTTTTTCAGAATTCTTTATGTGTGCAAACACCGAATGAAATGAAATGAAATTTTTCTGTCACTGATATGGGGACTTGTTGAGGTTTTCCCCACTCCCCTCCTCACCAGAAAGAAGACAAGTGTATGCAACAGTTTGAATGGCATGTGATGCCGGGGTAGGTGGAGAACAATTGAATTACTTTCAGTTCCATATCTGGGCATGAAGTGTTCATTTTTATTAGTAAATAAAGTCACAGTGATAATAGCTGAAAGATAACATTTCAATTGCACCTCTCACTCAGTGACAGAACTCTGGAAATACAGTCAAAATTATAACACCATATCAATATTGGAGAGGTAATTGCACATATCTAGAAATGTGAAGGTAAACCAGATAACCAGAGTATTTGTAGGTTTTATTTAAATATGTGGCTCACACAGATGTGACTTTAAGTTTGTGTCAAGAGAGCTGGCAGTGACACAATGAGAAAGAACAATGATGAGTCTGCGAAACATCTCACAACGTGGATGAATCTGGAGGATATCATGCTGAGCGAAGAAAGTCAATCACAAAAGGACAAATATTGTATGAGACCACAATTGTAAAAAATCAAGAAAAAGTTTCCACATAGAAAGAAACAATCTTTGATGGTTACCAGGGAGGGGAGGGCATAGAGGGAAAAACACTAACTAGACAGTAGGCACGTGTTAACTTTGGTGAAGGCAAAGGCAATATACAATAGGGGGAAAGTCAGCAGAACTTGACCAAGACAAAGGAAGACACTGAGAGGAACACACACACATACACACAAAAAAAGGCCACCCCAGTAAATATTACAACATATACAATCCTACAACAACAGTAAAAACAAACAATAATTTACAAGCCGATACACAGGTAGTTATATATGCTAATAGGGGTAGGAGGGAGTATAGAAGTACACCCACCTACATATATAGGTTTGGCTGTGGATATTTTTACATACAAACTTGTATGTGCAGCATGTGTATTCATACATATAATAGAGCACACAGGAGGCACAGTCATAGAAGCTTCCTAGACACAGCCAAACACCTCGCAGGACCAAGTTGCTGGGGCTGAAGGCTAGGGACCATGGTCTCAGGGGACATCTAGGTCGATTGGCATAACATAGTTCATAAAGAAACTGTTCTACATCCTACTTTGGTGAGTAGCATCTGGGGTCTTAAAAGTTTGTGAGTGGCCATCTAAGATACAACTATTGGTCTCATCTGTCTGGAGCAAAAGAATGAAGAAAACCAAAGACACAAGGAAGCAATTAGTTCAGAGGACTAATGGACCACATGAACCACAGCCTCTACTAACCTGAGATCAGAAGAACTAGATGGTGCCTGGCTACCGCCACTGACTGCTCTGACCAGAATCACAATAGAGAGTCCTGGACAGAGCAGGAGAAAAATGTAGAACAAAATTCAAATTCACAAGAAAGACCAGATTTACTGGCCTAAGAGAGACTGGAAGAACACCCGAGTCTATGGCCTCTGGTTACCCTAACTCAGAACGGAAGCCACTCCCGAAGTTCACCTTTCAGGCAAATATAGACAGGTCTATAAAACAAACAATAACACCCGTGAGGAACATGCTGCTTAGAACTATCAAGTATACTAGACCAAATGGGCAACACCTGCCCTAAAACAAAGATGAGATGGCAGGAAGGAGCAGGAAAACTGGATGAATGGAAACAGAGAACCTGGGGTGGAAAGGGGGAGCATGCTGACACATTGCGGGGCTTGCAATCTATGTCGTGAAACAACTTGTGTATAATTTATTGAATGGGAAACTAATTTGCTCTGTAAACTTTCACCTAAGGCACAATTAGATGTTCGAAAGAAAGAAAGAAATTCCAAGCTGGCGCCACAATGAAATGCCATTCTCCACCTTTCAGATTGGCAAATATCAAGACGTTTCTCCATAGCAAGAGTTCAGGGAACTAGGCCCCCAGATGTCCACTTGCTGGTGAGACTGTAGATGGGCACAGCCTGTTATGGACTGAATTGTGTCCTAGCCTGTACCTGTGAATGTGACCTTGTTTGGAAATAGGGTTTTTCTTTTGAAATGTTAATGAGGTCATACTGGAGTGGGGTGGGTCCTAAACCTAATCCCTTCTGAGTGCTGTCATATAGAAAGGAAAACAGACAGACAGACACACATACAGGGGAAGAGACCACATGAGGGTCTAGCTACAAGCAAAGGAACTCTGAGAAACACCCGAGCTTACCAATAAGGAAGGACCCTCCCCTAGAACCGAGACCCTGATGTGGACTTCTAACCTCCACAACTTGAGACAATAAATGCCTGTTCTTTAAAACCACCCACTTGTGGTATTTTTGTTAAGACAACACCGGGAAACTAAGAACCACTTTGGCAATATTTATAAAACTTTAAAATGCGCATACCCTTTGATAGCAGCAGTTCTTTGTCTAGAAAGTTATCTCACCGATTGACTCACACCTATGGATAAAGACTATGTGTGGTTTGGGGCAGTTAGCCACCTCTCTGTTCTATGTCAGAGGCTTATTGCACTCAGTGCCAGCTGTTACGATTGCAGCACAACATTGGAAACAACCTGAGCGTCCATCAAATAAGGGATTGGTTTTAAAAAAAAAATTTTTGTCTGTACATTGGAAAACCAGGAAGCTTTTAAATAGAGCAAGGAGACTCTTTAAACAGGCTGTGGAATGTTCTTTTAGAAATATTGTTAAGTGGGGAAAAAATCAAGATGTGTGTCTTTCTTATCTAGTACTGCTGTAACAGAAATACCACAAGTGGATGGTTTTAACAAAGAGAAATTTATTCTCTCACAGTCTAGGAGGCTAGAAGTCCAAATTCATGGTGCCAGCTCCAGGGGAAGGCTTTCTCCCTCTGTTGGTTCTGGGAGAAGGTCCTTGTCATCAGTCTGCCCCTGGTCTAGGAGTTTCTCTGTACAGGGACCCTGGGTCCAAAGGATGCACTCTGTTCCTGGCACTACTTTCTTGGTAGCAGGGGGTCCCTCTGTCTCTCTGCTTTCTTCTCTCTTTTATATCACAAAAGAGATTGATTTAAGACACAGTCTAATCTTGTAGATTGAGTCCTGCTTTATTAACGTAACTGCCTCTAGTTAGGATTTACAACACTTAGGAAAATCACATCAGATCACAAAATGGTGGACAACCACACAATACTGGGAATCATGGCCTAGCCAAGTTGACACACATTTTGGGGGGACACAATTCAATCCATGAGAGTGGGAAAGAGTGCTCATGGTTTGCCACCATTTGTGTGTGGTGTGCGCCTATGAGCGTACCATCTCTTGACGGAGGAGTCACTAGAAATTGGTAACAGTGATGCTTCTGGAATGGGGATGGGAGGTGGGCGCATTGTACCATTTATATTGTACACCAGGGGAATGTATTCTGTACTCAAAACCAAACAATTTTACTAATAAAAATATTCCTTTATTACTTAAAAAGAGAGAGAGAGACCTGGTAGCAGCCAGTCTTTGAATTATGGGAGCAAGTTCAAAAGAGATGTTGGCTATTCTGAACTTGGAAGAGTCAACAGACCGAGCTGAGACTCAGTCCTGCTCCTTCAAGCCAATTCCTTAACCTGTGGGAGCTTCGGTTACTTCATTGTATGAAAAGGATGATAATATTGAGTGAGGTTTAGTTGGCAAAGCATTTAGCGCAGTGTCTGATGCTAACAAATGCACAACAAATAATTGTTTCCTACCTTCTCCTTGGAGGGCAGTTGTGGTTCAGTGGCAGAATTCTCGGCTTCTGTGAGAGACCTGGGTTTGATTCCTAGCCAATGCACTTCATTCATGCTCAGCTACCACCCATCTGTCAGTGGTGGCTTGCTTATTGTTATGATGCTGAGCAGGTTTCATTGGAGCTTCCAGACTAGGAAGAAAGGCCTGGTGATCTACTTCCAAAAGTCAGCCAGTGAAACCCTATAGATCCCAAAGGTCCGATTCCATTGCCCATGGGTTTGTTATGAGTTGGCGGCCAACTCGACAGCAGCTGACAACAACAGCAGCAACCTTCTTCTTGGGAAATTAGTGACACTGGGAAATTGTGAGGGCCCAGCCCCTGACATGGGGAAACTGGCCGGGCCCTCACAGCTGGGCCTCGGCATCCTCCTGTTGAGCATGAGCAATTTCACAGACCACCAGCATCAGACAAAGCCACTCTGTGACCCTAATGGAGCAAGACCACAAGATTGATCTGTAATCACATCTGAACACAGACAAGAACATCTGAGCACAGGCCCAACCACAAAAATGACCAACACTCCCCTCTCCTGACTGATACGAGTGACTGCTACTTCTTGACCAATCACAGCTTTAGCCTCGCTTCCTTATTCTCACCTTTTAGACAAGAATTTTTAAAAGATCCATGATAGAATTACCCCTACTTCCTGAAAGCATCTAATCTAGAATAAACCATTTCCTGGAATCCTGCCCCAAAGCACCTAGCACAAGGCCAAGTCCAAATAAGTCCTTCCTAATACCCTCTTGGAGTCCCTGGGTACTGCAAACGGTTAACACGCTCGGCTGCTAACTGAAAGGTTGGAGGTTCAAGTCCACCCAGAGGTGCCTTGGAAGAAAGGCCTGGTGATCTACTTGTGAAAAATCAGCCATTGGAAACCCTGTGGAGCACCCTCTGACACACTTGGGGTCACCATGAGTTGGAATTGACTCAATGGCGAATGGTTAACACTCTTACTGAGATGTCTTATGGTTCCCCATGGTGTGAGGTCTGCCTCATTGTGCTGAGTAAATAAATTCAACTGTGTTCAAATACAGGTGTGCTCAGGTGATTGCAGCTTTGGATACAAAGCATCAGCACAGCTGATTGGCTACCTTCTTGGAGACTACCTTCTTCTTTTGGGTGCGTTACTACTCAAAGTATGGTCAGTTGACCAGTGGCACCAGCATCCCCTGGAATCTTGCTAGAAATGCAGACTCTCAGGCCCCTTTAGGCTACTGAATTGTAATCTGCATTTTCAGAAGATCCCCTGGTGAATCACGCATGTTAGACTGTGAGAAGCTGCTAGGCTATTGAGTCTCAACCTTGCCTGGGAAGTTTTAGAAAAATGTGGGTCCCACCCCCAAAGATTCTGATTTACTTGGCCTGGATGCAGCCTGACCATCGGAATTGTTAAAAGCTCCCCAGTTCTGTTTTAATCAAAGATTCTATAGAAGAATCTTGGCCAAAGGGGGGAAAATGCAGAACAAAATTTTAAATTCTTATGGATTCCAGACTTTCTGGAGCCATTGAGGCTGGATGAACCCCTGAAACTATTGCCCTGAGATACTCTTTAAACTTAAACCAGAAATATCCCCTAAAGTCTTCTTTAAACCAATCAACGGTTTAGCTTAATTAGTAAAGAAATTTAGCATTGTGTTCTTTTAAAGAACTATTTGGGATCAAATTGACAACAGCAACTCGAAAGCTTAGATAGGAAGCTTAGGGAGCAGTGAGTTTATGTTAATGGAGGAGGAACAACTCAGAAAAGGAGGGTGAGGGTGGTTGTACAACTTGAAGAATATAATTAATGTCATCGAATTGTACATGTAGAAATTGTTGAATTGGCGTCTGTTCTGCTGTGTATAGTTTCAACAACAACAAACAAATAAAATAAACTATTAAAAAATTTTTTAAAAAAACTCCCCAGTTCTTTCTAATGGGCAGCCAGAGTGGAGAAGGATCAGGTAGAGAACACCCAGGTGGGGGTTAGTTTTGTTTTTGCCGATAACACCATTTGCTCACAATGAGTGACCATCCGTCTGGAGAGGAGGCTGTGGATGGGTTTAACAATGGTCTTCTCACTTGGGCTTCACTTTCCTTTGTCTCCAGGTGGCCCCTCGGAAGGAAAGCTGATCCCGGGAGATCAGATTGTGATGATTAATGATGAGCCAGTCAGTGCTGCGCCGAGGGAGCGGGTCATCGACCTGGTCAGGTGCGTGACTCCGTCATCTGTCCTGTCCTGCCGCCAGGGCTGCTCCCCAGCCCTGAAGCCTCATCAGGCAGAGGAGGGGCTTTCTGTGGGCCAATTTCAGGCAGAAACACAAACCTCCATCCTGGAGTCACTGAAAATGCTGGTGACACAGACCGCTAATATAAAAACACAAGCTCCGTAAATGCAAACCGCCTAATTGTCCAATCCTTTGCTAGCTAGCATTCAGGGTGCCTATGTTTCTGCTCAAAATTTGTATGATTCCCATCTCCTTTGCTATATCCAAAGGTTGCAATTTTTTCCCTCTAGAGTTACCAACACATCGGTTTTTTTGTAATCAGGGAGATCAAAATGCAACACCTGAATACCACTTATGTGATGAGTAATTTTACATACACATTCCCGTGGATAAACAAACCTACAGTCCCCTGATTTTTCATACTTGGCTGAGTGATTCACCACTGAATTTTGAGATGATCACCCGAGGCAAAAGGATAATTAAGTCAAAGCTAGGGCAGTTTGAAAATGGGCTTGGTTTATTGGTTGAGCTTTATCATGAATGTATGTAAATCGTTATGTGATGTGCTTATTGGTACACTAGAAAATGTCTTTTATATGATGTTAAAATAGTGGTCAAGAATGCTCTTAGAAGCCACTGGAGTTACACATCCACAATGAATTTAGGGGAAAAGCTCTGTGAAGTATATGAATGGATCCACTCAGCCACAAGGGTGTTGAGGACTGATGGGCATGTGGCATTTGTCTTTTATAAACTCTTTCCAAGCATGACGGAAATGGAAGCTAAAGTTACCAGAACACTTTAAACTGAGAAGGGGATCTGTTAGCTTTTAGGCTTTCTCATAAGAAATGAATATCTATATTTTGGGAAAAGCAAAAAATGGAGGATTCCTGGGGTCTTCAGGAGAACGTTTCCTCCCAAACCCAGTTCAGCTTCCCCTACAAAGGGAGACCCAGGATAGCATAATCTCCTTGGAAGAACTTGGAGACAGGTAGGAAAAGAGAACTAGAAATAGAGGGAGCTCACTTTTAGAGTAACCACTTGTCCCAGTTTTAGCACTGAAAGGCCCACATCCTGGGAAACCCCTCCATCCCGGGCAAACCAAGATGGTTGATCACCCTACTTTAAAAAAAAGTTGCTGTCAAGTCAACCTCGACCCATGGTGACCCTATATGTGTCAGAGTAGAACTGTGCTCATAGGGCTTTGAATGGCTTATTTTTTGGAAGCTGATTGCCAGGCCTTTCTTTCCAGGCACCTCCAGGTGAACTCAAACCTCCAAACTTTCAGTTTGCAGATGAGCATATTAACCATTTGCACCACCCATGGACTCCTACCCTAGTTTAGTTTGGGCCAAAGACAGCAGAGCCTTTGCAGCTGGCTGGGAAAATGGTGCCTGTCCTCATGGGGCTTCCACATCTCCAAAGGATGCTCTCACAAATGAGTGGGCACTTCACCTGTACCTGGGACAAGTCCTGGGAATGCCTGGGATATTCCTGTGGACCAGGAATGCAAGAATCTGGAGCAACCTGTATTTTAGAGCTCTTGGGAGGGAGCTGAAACACTATCATTTGGAATTACTTCCCCCTGAGAGGCATCTGGGTGTCAGTGGGGACATAACCTCATGGAGGCAGGCTCTGAGCCTCATATCTGTTTGCATCCCAGAGCGCCATGTTTGGGCTCAATGGCAGAAGTCACGTGGGCATTTTGTTTTCCCCTTGGTGCACACCTCTGTGATCAGTCCTATTGATTTCTGCGCCTGGAGGAGGATGGAAGAAATAAAATACCTGTGTTTGGGTTTCCTGTGACTGAATTGCCTGCTGCAGAACAAGGACAGAGAAAAAGCTCTCTATACATGCAGTCATCGCCTAGCAATCCTACCAGCGCACTTAGAAAGATTGTTTTCCAGAAAAGATTTCTTTTCCTTTTGTTTCGATGCCTTATGGAAGGAAAATGGCATCTCTGTAAACATAACACTCTTTATAGCACTTGATACATAGTGGAGTGCAATGAATAAAAGAACCAATTAGAAAAGAGGTTGGCAAATGATGGCTCACGATCCAAAACCAGCCCACCACCTGTTTTTGTGTGGCCCACGAGCTAAGAATGGTTTTTACCATTTTTAAAGAGTTGAAACAAAAGAAGAATATTTTATGACATGTTTCACATTTTCAGTTATAAAAAATTCACATTTCAGGGTCTATCAACAAAGTTTTATTGACACACAGGCACGCTCATTCATTTATGTAGTGGCTAGCTGCTCTCGAACTACAACAGTTGAGTAGTTGCAACAGGGACCATGTGGCCCACAAAGCCTAAAATATTTACTATCTGGCCCTTTACAGAAAAAGCTTGCCAATCACGCTTAGGGTATATTCAGGTAACCAATTAATTTTTTGAGGGGTAGACTAAAATCCCAAATAATATACCCAGAAAATTTCTCTCAAAATGGGGTTGCGATTCACTCTGAGAATCCCACATGCTTGATAATGAGATTGTGGTGTTTTAAATGGATTGAAGTTGAAAACATGCATGATTTCCACCTCTTCCCTGGCCATGCACTGGAAGTTCTGTTTGAGAAGATGTGGCGTTCCTGTAATAAAGGCATCTGGAGACTGTACAATGCTCACATACCCTTGGGATATTAAATAAGATATTCATAACAAAAAAAAGAGGTAGGTGAGGTCACCACCTATCTGTCAATTCATCGTACTGTGGTGGCTTGTGTGTTGCTGTGACACTGGAAGCTATGCCAACAATATTTCAAATACCAGCAGGGCCACCCATGGTGGAGAGGTTTCAGCAGAGCTTCTAGACTAAGACAAACTAGGAAGAAAGGGCTGGTGATCTACTTCTGAAAGATCAGTTAATGAGAACCCAGTACTCATCTTTCAGCACTGGAAGATGAGCCCCTCATGTTGGAAGGCACTCAGAATACAACTAGGGAAGAACTACCACCTCAGAGTAGAGTCAGCCTTAATGACCCAGATGGAGTCAATCCTTCAGGAGCTTTATTTGCTGATTTGGCAGGACTCAAAATGAGAAGTTACGGATGCAAGCATCCATTAATAATTAAAACATGAAATGTATGAAGTATGAATCAAGAAAAATTGGAAGTTGCCAAAAATCAAATAGAACGTTTGGAAATCGATATCCTGGTTATTAGTAAGCTGAGACGGACTGGTATTGGCCATTTTGAATCTGATACTCATATTGTCTACTATGCCAGGAATAACAAATTGAAGAATGGCATTGCATTCATTCTTAAAAAGAACATATCAAAATCTATCCTGAAGTACAGTGCTCTCAGTGATAGGTTACTATCCATACGTCTACAAGGAAGACCAGTTAATGTAACTATTGTTCAAATTTACACACTAACCATGAATGCCAAAGATGAAGAAATTGAAGATTTTTACAACCTGCTGCAGTATGAAATTTATTGAATATGCAGTCAAGATGCATTGATAAATTATTGGTGATTGAGATGTGAAAGTTGGAAACAAAGAGGAAGGATCAGTAGTTGGAAAATATGGCCTTTGTGATAGAAATGACGCTGGAGGTCGCCTGACAGAATTCTGCAAGACCAATGACTTATTCATTGGAAATACGTCTTTCTCCATCAACACAGTCTATGTGGATCTCACTGGAGAGATTACAGGAATCAAATTGACTGCATTTGTGTAAAGAGACGATGGAGAATCTCGATATCATCAGTCAAGACAAAGCAGAAGCTGACTATGGAACAGACCATCAGTTGCTCATGTGCAAATTAAAGCTGAAGCTGAAGAAAATTGAAGCAAGTCCATGAGAGCCAAAGTAAGAACTTGAATACAACCCACTTGAATTTTAGAGACCATTTCAAGAGTAGATTTGACACAGTGAACACTAATGACCAAAGATGAGAAGAGTTGTGTGAAGACATCAAGAGCATCATCTGTAAAGAAAGTGAAAGGTCATTAAAAAGATAGGAAAGAAGGAAAAGACCAAAATGGATATCAGAAGAGTCTCAGAAACTTGCTATTAAGCACAAAGTAGCTAAAGTGAATGGAAGAAATGATGACATAAAAGAACTGAACAGAAGATTTCAAAGGGCAGCTTGAGAAGATAGAGCATTATGATGACAAAGGTAGAGACTTGGAATTAGAAAACTGAAAGGCAAGAGCATGGTCAGCATTTCTCAAGCCACAAATTGCATGACTGAAGGATGCTATGGGCCCTGAAGGATGCTATGGGCCAAACAATGAATGACACAGAAAGCATCAAAAGATGGAAGAAATACACAGCGTCACTGTACTAAAACAGCATTGGTCCACATTCAGCCATTTCAAAAGGTAGCAGGTGATCAAGAACCGCTGATACTAAAGGAAGAAGTTCAGGCTGCAGTGAAGGTGTTGGCGAAAAACAAGAAATTGACGGAAGAAACTGAAATGCTTCAATAAACATATTCAATGCTGGAGGTGCTCACTTGTCTGTGTCAAGAAATCTGGAAGACAGCTACCTGGCCAACCAGCTGGAAGAGATCCATATTTGTGCCCATCCCAAAGAAAGGTGATCAAATGGAACGTGGAAATTATCAAACAATGTCATTAATACAACATGCTAGCAAAATTCTTCTGAAGATAATACAAAAACAAAAACAACTGCAGCCATATACCTACAGGGAACTGCTGGAAGTTCAAGCCTGATTCCGAAGAGGACATGGAATGAGGGCTATCATTGCTGATGTCAGATGGATCTTGGTCAGAAGCAGAGAATATCAGAAAGATGTTTACCTATACTTTATCAGCAACACAAAGGCATTCGACTGTGTGGATAATAACAAATTATGGATAACAGTACAAAGAAGTCAAGAACACTTAATTGTGCTCATATGGATCCTGTACACGGATCAAGAGGCAGTTGTTCGAACAGAAGGGGATACCGCATGGTTCAGAATTGGAAAAGTTGTGTGGCAGGGTTGTATCCTTTCAGCTCACCTATTCA